AAAGATCTCAACCAGACAGATACCTCGGTATCGTCTTAACTGATGATTAGGACATCCTAGTTATGGATGGTGATGAGCCGGCGACATACAAGCAAGCTATGACGAGCCCCGACTCTGCAAAATGGCAAGAGGCCATGAAATCCGAGATGGACTCCATGTCTGAAAATCAAGTCTGGGACTTGGTGAATTTGCCCGAGGGTTATACACCCATTGGTTGCAAATGGATCTTCAAAGTGAAGACAGATAAGGATGGAAATGTATCGATATACAAAGCTAGACTGGTGGAAAAAGGTTATAGACAAGTCCACGGGATTGACTGTGACGAAACTTTTTCACCAGTTGCAATGCTAAAATCCGTCCGGATCATCCTAGCGATTGTTACATAGTACGATTACGAAATATGGCAAATGGATGTCAAAACCGCCTTCCTTAATGGGATTTTATAAGAAACTGTGTATATGACACAGCCAGAAGGTTTTATCGATCCAGGTAACGCTGGAAAGGTTTGCAAGCTGAAGAAGTCCATTTATGGACTAAAGCAAGCCAGCAGAAGTTGGAATCTGCGATTTGATGAAGCCATTAGCAAGTTTGGTTTTATCAAGAATCCAGATGAGTCTTGTGTATACAAGAAGCTCAGTGGGAGTGATATTGCATTCCTAGTCCTGTATGTCGATGACATACTGCTCATTGGAAACAGCACAAAATTATTGGAGTCCGTAAAGGGCTGGTTGGGGAAGTGCTTTTCAATGAAGGACTTAGGAGAGGCACAGTACATATTGGGCATCAAGATCTACAGGGATAGATCTAAGAGGATGATTGGATTAAGCCAGAGTACTTACATTGATAAAGTACTGGCTCGATTCAACATGGAAAATTCCAAAAGAGGGCATTTACCCATGTCCCATGGCATAACTCTCAGCAAGAAACAGTGTCCGCAGACACCTGTTGAGCGAGAAAGAATGAATAGATCCCGTATGCTTCGCTAATCGGATCGATCATGTATACCATGATATGTACAAGGCTAGATGTATCGTATGTCCTGAGTGCAACGAGTCGATACCAATGGAACCCAGGAGAGGCGCATTGGACTGCAGCCAAGAACATCCATAAGTACCTGAAAAGGAACAAGGATAAATTCCTGGTATATGGAGGCCACAAAGAACTGGTTGTTGAAGGTTACACCGACGCTAGCTTCCAGACTGACAGAGACGACTTCAAGTCACAGTCGGGGTACATATTTTTTCTGAATGGAGGAGCGTTTAGCTGGAAGAGTGCCTAGCAGAGCACCACTGCAGACTCTACAACTGAAGCCGAGTACTTGGCCGCTTTGGAAGCTGCCAAGGAAGCTGTTTGGATTCGCAAGTTCATTAGCAAACTTGGTGTTGTACCCTCAATCAAGGGACCAATAGACCTCTATTGTGATAATAATGGAGCTATCGCTCAGGCCAGGGAGCCGAGAGAACACCAGAAGGTCAAACACGTGCAAAGGCGATTTCACATGATAAGGGAATGGAAATCCGAAGGTGAAATCAGAATTTGTAAGATCGGCACGGATGATAATGTAGCCGATCCTTTGACTAAACCTTTGCCTCAAGTGAAACACAACAAGCACATTGAGGCAATAGGAATCAGGCATGTTGGAGACTAGCTTTGAAATTCCCTGTACATGTGTTTTAATTGAATAGGATATTTAATGTAAGACACTGTATTGAAACCATTCATTAATGGAGTAATTAATTTTTGTGCAAAAATTATCATTCACTCCATTACTATTTAATTGTGGTTTAGAATTAAATAATGAGTCCATTCGATTTACGGAAATATTCAAAACAGGGTATCAAGACCATGTCTTGGATAAAGATACACCTGTTAAGTGAACATTGAATATTAAATCGAAAAGTATCCCTAATCGAGGTCATCTAACAAATGGACGATTGATGACCGCCATAGATTAGTGTGTAGTATGATTTACAACACCGTTTCTTGTGCTGCGAGGACGTGACAGTCATAAATCATTTGCACAGGTACAGTTTAGAACTGTACTGGATAAGACCTATGAGACTACTTTAAGAAAATTTAAATTTTGTCATAAGTACATTTCTCATTATGACTATCGGAACTTATTTCCTCCGACCATGAGTACTGTAAAGTTTTCTTGTTTGAGTACTAGACTCTTTGATGTTTCCAAACGTCTGCCGTAACTGGGGATCATAAAGGGGACACTCGGGAGACTATGTCCTCTTAGTAAGAAGAAATTACAATACAAGACTGGGATTGTCCCCCTACTAACAATAGGGAAAATGTTTTGTTATTTACAAGGCCGCTCGAAGAGTGAGACTGTGAAAATGCATGGCTATGCTCAGATAGATTTTAGAAATGATCTTCTTATTGACAGTCGAACTCGGAGATCGAGAAACACTTCTGAACGTAATAAGGATGACAAAGAATCTTACCTTATAGTTCACAAAGAAACATTAAGTGACATAGGAGATGAGCTATACACTATATGCACACTTGTCCGGAAGGACAAGTGGGAGATTGAAAGGAATGGTGTCCTTCCAACAAGTGTATTCTACCGATAGAGGGCTCAAAATTATTACAGAGCTAATTCTTCAGTAAGGTCAAGTGATCGGAATGCCTAGGTGGAGGCCGCTTCCGATTAGTAATATCAAGGTACAATTGATATTACAACTTAATCTTAACTGAACCCTTCGGGTCGAACCCAAGCAAATCACCGATCCGAGACGACAAATTAATCCGAAAGGATTTAATGAGTCGACAGAGTTTTACGAATACAGACGTCGGAAATCGAGCCTAGGGCGTTGAGACCGAGCGTCGCAAAATCACAATCGACAAGTATGAGCGTAGCCATAGCTAGGCTAGGCTAGCTCATCATAGGCACTAGGCGCGCCATGACAGCCCTAGCATCATGCCTAGGAGCTGTCGCAGCCCTAGCATGATTGCTAGGCACCATGGCTGGCTATCGCTAGCACCAGGCGCGCCAACACAGCCTTGCCATCATGCCTAGGCGCTATCGCAGCCCTAGCATGATGCTGGGCGCCATCGCAAGCCAGCAGCCCATCGTTGGCCTATACGCATCACTAGGCGCACCATGCGTGGCCTAGGATGGCTGGGCGCCATCGTAGCCCAGACAACACCACTAGGCGCACCATGCGTGCCCTAGGATGGCCTGATGCCATAGAAGCCCTAGCATAGTGCTGGGCACATGGCAGGGCCACACGCACCAAGCACAGCTAGTGCTAGGCACTGGCGCATGCGTGGTGCGTTGTGCCTGGGCGAGGCATGTGCGTGCATGGTGCACAGTGTCGAGGCTGATGCGTGAGGATGTGCGAGAGAGTGTGCGAGGGGCTGGCAAGCTAGCAAGCAACGTCAAGCCAAGCATGCGTAGCTTGCTTGCAGCACGCATGCTAGGCATTGTGTGCGAGAGAGATGCGTGGTGCGCATGGTGTGGGAGTGTGGTGCGTGGCGAGAGGCCATCATGCGTGGCACGCTAGGAGCACGCATGCTGGGCCATGCGAGCAGCGATGATGCGTGGGATGCTAGCACCAGCACCAGCATGCACCAGCAAGCATCAGCGATGCTGCTGGGCTAGTGCTAGCATGCTGGCTAGCTGGCACAGCCAGTTGGCACGCTAGCTGGCAGCTGGGAAGCAGCCTAGGGTGAGGCGGTTTATGAGGAGAGTGGGGACCAAGGCTTTGGGAAAGCCTTGGGGAGCAAGGCATTGGTCCCCCACCTCTCCATGGTCCTCACCTAATACTCTCTCTCTCCTTGACACTTGTCGAATTGTGATTGCATTAATTTATTGATTTATTTTAGAAATAAATTAATTAGCAAAATATACATTCTCCCACATTGGTTGGGGAATGAGAATCAAAGGATCATTTCCCTATAAATACCAAGCTTAGTATTGGGATTTGATACAACCTTGAGTGGAATTAAAAAGGCAACTCTAAGAAAGAGTAAACCTTTGATTCGTAAAACTCATAGTTATTTTGTCCGGGTCTTGACTAACCTTCAAGACTTGGGACGCTCGGGTCGGGTTGAGGGTACGATCCGTCGGAGATCTCGTCTTTTCGGGATTTTGAAGTAAGAGCTCTTTGGGAGCGAAGCACGCGTCAAAGGTATAATTCTTGTCCTTAATCTTGTTTGATTAAGTTTATTATGATTTTTTAATTGCTTTAATTAAGGGGCGGGTCTTGTTGGGTTTCCTTCCGCGTAGTGTCGGGTCACTACGAAACCCTTCAATTAGATGGTATAACTATCATCACAGAATTAAATGTTGAGTAAACTGATAAAAAGATATGAAGTCGACCATATCTGCTGTAAATGCCATACAACAAAATGGGGAATAAGTTGGTTTAGTTAATTGTTGCCTAAAGTTAATTGTTGATTCCAAATTTTCTGCCTCTTTCTCCTTTCTCCCCTCACTCTATTTATACTAATGCTAAAGACTATTAACCTGATAATACATTGGAATTAGTTATTTTATATTTGGCATAACATGAATATGAGTCAATGAAATGACCTTTTAAAAAGCTATAACTCAAATCATACTGTCTATAGTCATACATAAACCACATTCACTTCATGAATAACTTAATTGCAATTAGTAATAAATCATTACCCTACTAAACAACTAATATTAATAGATTTTATGGAAAGAAAGGGAGGGGAATAGGGGTTAGACGAAGGGTAAAAAAAAACAAAGGTTAGGGGAAGGAAGATGTGAACTTGCATATTTCTTCCAATTCTTTCATTGAAATGATTTGGTTTATTAAAAAGGAAGAAAAATGGATCCCTTCCAATTTTGTACCCTTCCCATCCCCCAAATCATACCCAAAGGTCCCACGAGGAAAGATGAACCCTTCACTTTTCTTCCCTCCCTTTTCCTTAAAATTATCCTTATCCAAACACATTGTACATGCGGACCAAGAAGCTTCAAATAGAAACATAAGCAGATTTCTGCAAGCATTTAGTACCTTGAATATGTTTCTTCAGTCACCAACTGTTCAATTGCACGCTTATTATCACTCTTGTTGGATAGAGACAGCACCTAAGAAATGAAATACAACACGTCAGCTCTCATCTTAGCCCTAAATTTTAGTACCGCTAGAGTTTGCAAATACTCATGAAAGGTAACAAGAGGCAAATTATGGACAGTAGAATACACCCATTCAAGTCCCAAATGCACACTATAGCTCTAAGTAAGCAAAGGAAAAACCCTTATTAGCTTGAAGCACCCTAAATTTGATTACTAACTGTTGTGCCAAAACCTCAACCAGATTATATGTATACCCACCCCCAAGATACACACACGCACATGCACACCTAATAAAAGCAGGAGCATGAAACTCAAACCCCCATATGGATATATACAAAATCAAAGCGCGCAAACATGGCAAAAGCAGCAAAAAGAACTCAAGCATACGTAAATCATATAACAGAATTTTAAGGCGCACTATTCTTTCATGAAGTTCCAAGACTCAAGGCTATGTGGATACAATTATATAACAAACAGAAATGATACAATTGGTAGTGCTTCATACCACAGGATCCCAGAAACGGATGATAGCATCTTCGCCACAGCTGATTATATTGTTGTTTAAAGGCCCCCAAACAGCTCTATTGATTCTTCCATTTGGACCCTTGATGACAAGAACTGGCCTATCACTCCCTGCAAATCAATGTAAACAATGATGTCATCTTTGGGAGCAGATTTCAAGGATAATAAAGTGAGAAGGGATAAATGTTAATGGATATACACACAAATTCATAAACAAGTAATGTTAGTGTAAATGCCTTAAACCTAAAAGCCTGCAGGTTGCTTATAAGTTTCATCAAACCACAGCCCAAAAATCAGTGTCCATAATAGCTTTACAAACAGACTGATAAACTACCTGCCCAGCGCTAACTTTTGGTTTCTTGTACAAATTGAACATCCACATGAAGGTAACAACCACTGACCCAACAACAAATTGAATCAATGTGACTGTCACGGGATAATGAAATGCCTTCAGAACCTGCAGGAAAGAACATCATACATCAGCAAAAGCTAATGCAAGCAGAAAATCACTACTTTGTATCAATTTTTACCTATGTGCCTCAGATCAATACGATTTTCCATCAAACATGTACTAAGAACTTTTTTTATATACATGCAACAAGTCTGCAAAATAGAGTGACGCATCCTTGTACAGTTGTACCAGCACATCTCAAAGAAACAAAAACAAAATCACAGAAATCACACACTAACACACACAATACATAAGAAATCTTCAATAATAAAAAAAATATCAAAAAAAAAAGATCGAAGAAAAAGGGGGGAATTGACGATAAACCCTAGAAAAAGAAGGCCCTGCCGCCGTGACAAGGAGGCCGTTGTGGTGGAGGTAAAGTCGTGCACGCTTCAATGACAAACCCTAGATTACCACAACCCTTAAATTACTAAATTGAAAAGAAAATCAACGACAAACCCTAGATTGCGAATGAATTGGAGGGATTAAGTAAACCACAAGAAAAATCTTACCTCGAAGTTGCTTCAATGGAGGTGAGAAAGCTCAGAATTGGCTTCAATGGAGAATATAGATCACGGCGAGTTCAATGGAGGCCAGAGATATGGAGAGGGAAGGAGGTGCTGCTTCAATGGATCGGAGTGGAAATTCGGTATGGTGGAAGAGAAGGCGAAAACGAGATGAAAACAGGGGATGGAAAAGTAGGGGGAAAGAAAGAAAGAAAAGCACGCAGCCCGATTTTTTTTTTTCAATTTTGCACCGGTTTGGTTTGAACTTGTGCGAAATCCCTTTCTCCCTTTTCTTTTTCCTCGTTTATAATTCGCACCGATTTGAACCGGTGCGAAAAAAATGATTTCGCACCGGTTCCTAATAAACCGGTGCTGATTAGGGGATTTTTATCCACCAATCACCGTCTGACAAGTGGACCAACCAGGTTCCGCCACGTGTTCTTCACGAAGGCCAACAGGAACCTGCCACGTGTCAATCACAGATACGTCCTCCACGGACCACTTAAGACACGCCACGTGTCCGCCCATGCCAAATGGGAAAACCGGCCATCAAGGCCCAGTCCAGTCTAGAGGCCCGGTCAGCCCTAGGTTTACCTTAAACCTAGAGAGCTGCACGTTTCTCAAGGCTATAAATACTCGATTAATCCTCATTAATCACACAACAACAGAAAAGAATCGAATAATCAAGAGATCAAGCAGAGAAGAACAGAGTTATTAACAACCGGCTAATCTCGCTAACGACGCAGATTACCAACACTAAGCACTCTCACCTAGAGAGATCTCATTACTTTAATTTCTGTATTAATTACTCCTTAATCAGGTACTAACTTGACCGTTGGAGGCGGGGCTCTCAGGAGTCTCCGTTATTTTGCAGGTACAGGCGTCCGGTTCCAGTCTCGGAATTGTAACTCTCCCGCAGGACATCAGAAAACCCCGAAACATTTGGCGCCGTCTGTGGGGAGAGTACTTCAGAGATGGCATCCAAGTCTGTACCGACTCCAGAAGAGAGGCTTCCCCTAGACGACCCTCAAGTTCAGTCGGACCATGATACCGAAAGTGAATTTGAAGTTGAAACTCATACAGCTCCAGACGGGACCCTAAGGGCCCGACGTACCCGTCATACCGAAATGAGGGAACGGGAGTATCTTCAAACAGGAAGCGAGCCAGCAGGCGCACCGCTTGCTCGGCAACAGCCGACTGATGGGTCTGCTCCCATCACAAGGAACGAACTCATGACCTTCATGAGGGACTTCAAGGGAGAGATCCAAGAGTTGATCAACAAAAGACCGCCTGCTTCAGTCAAAGAGCAGTTGGCCAAGAAACCTTCCACTTCACTGAAGAGGAAGCCAGTTCAAGGGCGAGAGGCGACTCCCCATCCTAAATCCAAGAAGCGGGAGCCATCTGCTCTTGATTTCACAAAACTCCGTTATCCTACGGGAAATAGGAAACCGGTTCGTCATATTCAGGCGGACGGGTCAAAGCAAACGTTCACAGATGCTCGGCACCTGCTAGAGCAGAAGAAGAGTGACCGATTATCAGAGTCGGCTTCTATTTAAATTTTCAGGACAGTTTGCGAAATGCCTCGATGAGGCCTACTCAGTCGTACCATGAGAGTCAGTCAGGCGGCACCTCCCGTCAGTCCGGCTTTCATAGTGCCCAGGCGGTACCAAACTTACCATTTTTGCCGCAACAACAGTATTTTATGCAGCCACCTCCATTTGGTGGACCTGCAGCAAAAAACGTCCAACCTATGGACTGGCAGCTACGGCTGCTTAGACTTGGTGAACAGCCGTCGGCCTTCTCCAAGGAAATTACTGAAGCCGCTCAGCCGGCCAAAGTAAAAAATGTTCTAGTAGGCGCCTATGACGGCACTACTAACCCAGAAGACCATCTGATGGCATTCACCAACCTGATGTACCTTCAAGGGTTGGATGATCCCACCTGGTGCAAGTGTTTCCCAGCGACTCTCAAGGGAATCGCACAGCAATGGTTCGGCAACCTGCCGACTGGTTGTGTAAACAGCTTCAGGACGCTTGCTTACTTATTTTCCTCCAACTTCGCAATGAACATCCCTGCGAAGAAAACGACCCTTGATTTGGGAACAATTCAGCAGGGCGAGAAAGAGGGGCTTCGTTCCTACATCAGGCGGTTCAACCTGATGAGAATACAGATTCAGGGGTTACCGGATGAGGTAGCTTATACTGACTTTTTTAGAGGTCTCAAAGACGGGTCTACCTTCAAATTTGATTTAGTTCGAAAAAGGGTGGCGACTCTTCAAGAGGCCTTGATTGAAGCAGAAGCCTATATACAGGCGACTGATCTGTGTACGATGAAACAGTCGGACGGGAAGAGGTTCGACAAAAGAGAGGGACGACAGAAACAGTCGTCCAACAAAGATGAGAAAAGAAAAGAGGTCTGGTCGGCTGATTCCTCTAAACAGCCGACTCAGAAAAAGAAAAAAGAATTCAAACCATACTCCCCGAAGTATGTGTTTAACAAGGATAACCAGTTTATCCTAAAAGAAATAAAGGGACGGCTCTCAATTGAGAAGCCGCTCCCCATGAAGGGTTCTGTGAGCAACCGGAACCAAGACAAAATATGTGCTTATCATGATGACGTTGGGCATCACACCAATGACTGCATCAGTCTCATGCGGTACCTAGACCGTTTGGCTGATCAAGGTGATCTTGACACTTATGTCAAGAAATCTACGGGGAATACTTCCTCAAAAAAGCAGTCGGCCAAAAAGAATCAACAGGCCGACAGTTCCGATACAGATGATGCAGTCGTCTACACCATTGCAGGCGGCTTCTCAGGAGGCGGCCCCACTATTAGGGGCAACAAAGATAATATAAGGCGGTTAGATGTAAATTCCGTTCACCAAGAACGGCAGTCCAAATATACATTTCCAGAGATTGTCATCACTGAAGAGGATCTAGGAGGAATAAGGGGGCCGCATGACGACCCTCTCGTTATTGAATGTAAAGTGGCCAACCAGAGAGTTGGCCGAATCCTCATAGATACCGGGAGCTCTTCAGATCTCATCAGCAGCAAATGTCTGTCAAAACTGAAATATCAGACGGACTGCATACATCCGGCCTCCCACCCTTTAATAGGTTTTGGAGGAGGAGTCGTCCACCCACTGGGACGAGTGGATCTACCCATTCGCCTGGGCGAAAAAGGGGAAGGACGACACATGGTAGTCCGGTTCCTAGTGGTAGAGGAACTCTCGGCCTACAACATGATTCTGGGTCGACCAACCCTGAATAATTCCAAGGCTGTTATAATCCCGTCACTTATGCTGCTTAAGTTTGAAAGGGATAATGGAACAGTCGGCTCCCTAAGGGGAGATCAGAGGATGGCCCGAGAGTGCTATCTCTCGGATGTCAAGCCCACTGTTATGGCCACTGGGTCAAGTGGAGAAAAAACAGACCTTGACAACGTCAAGGAGAGTGCGTCTGTTCAGGAAACAGGCGACAAAAAGAGAAAGGCGCCCCAGACAGAGTCCGCAAGAAAAGCAAGAAAATAGCAATCATTGGCAGAGGACCGGCCGGATGAGTTCCGCCCTCAGCCGGCTGGTGAGCATGCGGACCTGATATTAGACGACTCTCGTCCTGACCGAACAGTCAAAGTTGGGACGACTGCTCTGAGGAACCTTGGTGATGACTTTCACAACCTGTTGAAAGAATACAAGGACATCTTTGCATTTGAAGTCCATGAAATGCCAGGCATTAGTCCTGATCTGGCAGTACATAAACTCGCTGTGGATCCGAAAAAGAAGCCGGTACGGCAAAAGAAGCGGAACCATGGTGAAGAAAGAAGTCAGGCGGCAGCCGCCGAAGTCAAAAAATTACTTGATGCAGGGTTCATTCGGCAATGTTACTTCCCAGATTGGGTTGCAAATGTGGTGCTTGTTAAAAAGCCGAATGGCACCTGGCGAATGTGTGTAGACTACACATACTTGAACAAGGCGTGCCCCAAAGACAGTTACCCTCTGCCTAAAATTGATAACCTGGTCGACTCAACAGCCGGCCATGCCTTGATGAGTTTTATGGACGCCTATTCTGGTTTTCATCAAATTCCTTTATGGAAGAAGGATCAGGAGAAGACGGCCTTCGTCACAGATCAGGGATTATACTGTTACACGGTCATGCCGTTTGGTCTTAAGAATGCCCCGGCTACCTTCCAACGAATGATAAATACAGTGTTCTTTGATCAGATTGGGAGAAACGTCGAGGCATATATTGATGATATGATTGTCAAGACTAAACTTCAAAAAGATCATCTGACGGACCTCCGAGAAACTTTCGCCACACTCAGGCGGCACCATGTCATGCTCAATCCCAAGAAATGTGTATTTGGAGTTGAGTCTGGGAAATTTCTCGGATTCCTTATCAATCAGAGAGGAATAGAGGCGAACCCTGAGAAGGTACAGGCGGTCATTGACATGCAGTCGCCTCGTACCGTCCGAGAGGTTCAGAAGTTAACAGGTTGTCTGGCGGCCTTGGGGAGATTCCTAAGCCGATCAGGCGACAAATGCCTATACTTTTTCCAGGCAATTAAGAAAAAGGCAAGGTTTGAATGGGGGCCGGATGCTGAGGCCGCCTTCCAGAAATTAAAGGTTCACTTGCATTCCTTGCCAAGGCTGGTCAGTCCTTTGCCCAAAGAAAATCTCTACATGTACCTGGCCGTCTCTGATCATGCGTTAAGCGCTGTGCTCCTTGCTGAAAGGGACGGCTGTCAACTCCCGGTCTACTTTGTCAGTCACGTACTGAAAAATGCCGAGTTGAGGTATCCCCTAGTGGAGAAATTTGGTCTTGCACTCTTCATGGCTGTTAAAAAATTGAAGCCCTACTTTTTGGCACATGCAGTCGTTGTGTATACCGACCAACCAATCAAGCGGCCCCTTACCATCATGGAGTCGTCAGGACGAATGATCAAATGGGCCATAGAAATACAGAGCCTCGAAGTTACTTTCGAGCCTAGAAAAGCAGTGAAGGGGCAAGCCTTTGCTGACTTTATTGTAGAGATGACTCGTCCTCCTGACTCTCAAGTTCCAGACCAGGTCTGGAAGGTATATGTGGACGGAAGCTCTACTTCAAATGGTTGTGGAGCAGGCGTCGTATGTCAATCTCCAGAGGGCGACAAGTTCGAGTATGCTCTACGCTTCAGTTTTCAGGCTTCAAACAATGAGGCAGAATATGAAGCTTTACTAGCTGGGATCCGCATGTGTAAGGCGGCAGGGGCAAGAAAAATAGACGCCTGTTC